ATGTAAGTTTTTTTTGTTTTGTTTTTGCTTTTTTTTTTTTGAGACGGAGTGTCGCTCTGTCGCCCAGGCTGGAGTGCAGTGGCGTGATCTCAGCTCACTGCAAGCTCCACCTCCCGGGTTCAGGCCATTCTCCTGCCTCAGCCACCCTAGTAGCTGGGACTACAGGTGCCCGCCACCATGCCTGGCTAATTATTTTTGTATTTTTAGTAGAGATGGGGTTTCACCGTATTAGCCAGGATGGTCTTGATCTCCTGACCTTGTGATCCGCCCACCTTGGCCTCCCAAGTGCTGGGATTGCAGTCATGAGCCACCGTGCCCGGCCTAGACCATGTAAGTTTTTAAGTGATACTTCTTTTTTTTTTTTTTTTTTTTTTTGGAGACAGAATCTTGCTCTGTTGCCCAGGCTGGAGGGCAGTGGTACAGTCTCGACTCATTGAACCTCCACCCCCAGGTTTAAGCTATTCTCCTGCCTCAGCCTCCTGAATAGCAGGGACCACAGGCACATGCCACCAAGTCCAGCTGATTTTTGTGTCTTTAGTAGAGATGGATCTCACCATGTTGGTCAGACTGGTCTCGAACTTTTGGCCTCAGGTGATCTACCCACCTTGGCCTCTCAAAGTGCCGGGATTACAAGCATGAGCCACTGCGTCTGGCCCATGTGTTACTTCTTCCTGATAGATTGACTTTTTATCAATATATTGTGTTCTTCTTTGTCTCTGAAAACAATTTTTGACTTACAGTCTAGTTGGTCTCATATTAGTATAACTGTTCTGGCTCTGTTATTATTTGCATGGAAAATCGCTTCTGGGCCTTTTGGCTGAGATCAAGTGTATTATTTGCATGGAAGATCTTTTTCTATTTCACTTTCAACCTATTTTTGTCTTTGATTCTATGAGTCATTTGTAGACCGCATCGTAGACTTATTATGGGTTTTGTTTTGTTTAATGTATTCTGCCAGTTACTGACTACTTTTGAGAGTTTAATTCATTTACATTTATAACTACTGATAAATGGGGACTTACTGTTGCCAGTTTATTATTATTATTATTATTATTTGAGCTTTTGTAGAGACAGAGTCTCATTATGTTGCCTAGGCTGGTCTTGAACTTCTGGACTCAAGCAATCCTCCTGTATTGGCCTCCCAAGGCAAAGGGATTAAAG